CTTTCCTAACAGCTTGTCTCAAAGCTACTGAAGCCTTTAGACCTCGTATCCAGTTTGTAGGGGTGACATGGGCTAGAAGCACAACATGCATGACATCATGAGGAAACTGCCCAAGAAATCCAGAGAAGAAATACAAAGCAACAACATGCCTCTGAGGGTGTACAGTATAAATGTTTTGTGGGTGGCCCACTTCTCATTAAAAGTTCCTCAAAATAGGATTTGTGTATGGACAAAGGTTCCCATGTTTAGGAATGACCTATGCTCTAAAAACTGATGGTACTCTTTCTGTTAATGGAACATTTGTGAACCTCGACTCTTCAGAGTCAATGCCGTGTTAAAAATTTAATAAAGGTAGGACTGTCATAGATTTTTAAGAGAGTTGAAACTTCACAATCAACATTATGCTTAAATCAGATTGGATTCTGATTTGAAAAAGCAACTTTAAAATATATTTTGGGGGACAGTTGGACATGGGGCAGATATTAGCTGGTATTAGGGGATGAATTTTAATTTCTTTGATGAGATAATGGTATTATGATCATGTGGCAAAAGTCTTGTTTTAAAGAAATATTTACAAAATAGATAAAACCAATATGGCAAAATGTAAATAATTGTTGGGTTTAGGAAGGAGATATAAAGGTGATCATTGTACTAATTTAAAAATTCTGCATATTTAAAATATTTAATAATAACAAAGCAGGAAAAAGGAATCCACTGGATTTTTAATATTTTACTTAGAAAGATCTCAACTTCCTCCTTTTCATTTCTGTATTATTTGAATTTTCATACATTAAACCTGAATTAGTTGTACAAAAGCCATAAGCTTATTTTCAAAAAAAATAAAACTTCTGCAGGTTTTCAGTGTTTTTTAGAGGACATAAGGATGGTATAGCTTAATGTTTAAGAAAATGGATTTTCAGGAAATGAGATTGTCAATGCAGCTTGAGAATTTTGTTTAAAGCACCAAAAACCCTTTGTCCCATAGGGACAAATAGGCCACAGGCACCTCCTCCAGGCTGCAGTTGCCTTGGAGAGCTCAGCCTTCTGACCTCTTGGCCGATCCTGACCAGCCATGACCTTGCTTACAGCTGAGGCCCGGTAGTGGGTGGCAGAGACTTTGTGGGAACTCTCACCCTCCCCTCCCAGGGGCCCTGCTTTGTTTGGTGTCTGGCCAGCGAAGAGATAAAGTTTGCTTGCTGGTGCTGACCCAAGGCTGTCTGCCTGCCTGTCCTCTGCTGATTCTAGCACTTTATCTTACTTGACTGTACCCCAGAAGTGCCATTTCTGACTCCCATCCTCCTTGTCAGAGACAAGCTTTGATCTTGACTTGGAGGAATCCAGTTTCTATTGAAGCCTGCTAGTCCTTCCACTCTGCGGGATATCACAGCATCCTCATGATGATAACCCATTTCCACCAGAGCTGATCTCCTTATTTGACCTTCTGTTCCTCCCTATCAAACTTCAGGCCCTGATTATTATATGTGATAGAGAAACATACATCTTAGTTATTAATATATTCACTACACATGTGAACCTTACAGCACCATTAAAGCTTTCTTTCTTTAAATTTATGGTGCAGTACTAACATTTTTGTCCACATGGCATTTTGAAAAAATTAATTATACAGTTGTACTTGTTTCTCATGAAATGATTATTTTTAGGTTCACTTAAGAATCTGTCATCATAACCTCAGTATTGATCATGTCCTCTTTAAAATTAAATTTGTCAAAACCAGAAAGTTACAGAGAATACCATAACAAACACCTGTGTGCCAACCACCCATATTTAACAAATGCTGACATTTTGTAATGATTGTTTTAGGTCCAGAATTCTCAGTTTAAAGTTGTACTTCTGAGATGGCCTCATAGAAACAGTGAAGCTGGCAGAGTTCCTTTCTGCTGTCCCCTTCTTTCTGATGCATGAATAACCACATGTTGGTGGCCCTTGATCCTGCCTTTCCCAGAACAGCTGTCAGGAAGCTTGTTATGGTTTGAATCTTTTTTTTTCTTTTATTTATATGTGCATACATTGTTTGGGTCATTTCTCTCCGCTTCCCCCAGTTTGGATCTTACTATCCCCCAAAGGTCCATGTTTTGAAGGCTTGTTCCCCAGCCCGTGGCACTACCGGGAAGTTGTAAGGCCTAGTTGAAGGAAGTTAATTGAAGATGTGCTCTTGAAGGGAATATTGGGACACTGATCCCTTCCTCTCTCTCTGCTTCCTGGCTGCCATGAGGAGAGTAGCTCACTATTCTATGTACCCCTACCGTGATGTCCTGCCTTGACACAGTCAGGACAAGAAATGGGTCAAGTGACTGTGAACTGAAACCTTTGAAGTAGTGGACCACAATAAATCTTTCTTTCTGAAAAGTTTTTTAATCTCAGTTATTTTGTTACAGTGACTAACACAGAACTCTTCCTTGGGGCCCTGGAATCCTCACTTCTGAGAAATGAGCCCTGGCCATGTGTAGCACAAGGAGTTGTGAACCAAAAACAGAGGTTTATGAGAACAAAATAAGTTTACTCTAACTATGCAGGGACATCTCTGAGAACCTCAAAAAAAAATGCATCCAAGAAATGAATACCTGTTAGATTCATGAATTCATGAATGCCTGCCAGGATTCTCTCTGCTTTATTCTTTACTCTTGGTCATTTCATGTGGTAGATAATAGCCACATATAACATGTCCATTTATGTACAGAGGATGATTCATAGGCCTTCAGTCACCATTCCACATGCCTAGAGTCTTGATTATTTGCCCTGGGTCACATGTCCACCTCTGTTCCAGAAAGTTGTGGTAAGAATTGCAAGGCCTTAGATGACTCATATGACTGCAAGGTGGTACTTCTGTGATGCTGTGGTTATCGGGGAGGGGCGAAGACAGTGGTCTCAAGAAGGAAACGCCCCTCTCATGCACATGGATGCCTGTCCTGAGGAGACAATCATCACAGTTTGAGAAGCACACAGCTGGACTATCAGGAAAACTAGGACAGTCTTTCCAGCCTAGGCACCTAGGACTGGGGAAAGCATGAGATAATGCTAATGGCAAGAGGAAAACCAATAAAAGAGACTGCATACCCCTGAGGGTGCACAGCAGAGGTGTTTTGTGGGTAAAAGCATTTCAGAAAAGGGTTTATATATGGACAGAGATTTCCATATTTGGGATACATTATGCTCTCAAAGTAGAAGTTCAATTTCTGTATTTCTTCAGTGAATGTTTAGGCTCTAATATCCTTGAGATTTAACTGATTGTGAGAAAACCTAACAATCCAGTCTCAAACTCCTTCAGAAGCTAGTGGTTTTGTGTGGATCCTGCATAAATATTATTAGAGATTAGCTCAATTTTTGAGCAATATCTCACAAAATTCACATTTGCTTTTCTTTCTACATTCACTCCCTCTTCTAAAGGTGTGTGTTCTTTTTGTTTGTTTGTTTTTGCTGTACCCTTATAAGCCATATTCTGTCTTTTCTGGAATAATCAGGATATATATAATTATATAAAATGAGGCCATGTTCATATTAGCTCATAGAACCCCAAACATAATACTAATAGTGCTATTATTTTTACCATAGAGACAATTGTCATTTACAATGTTTTTTCTGAAGAAAATAATTTTTAAAGACTAGAGGTTTGACTTAGGTGGAAGAATATTTACCTAACATGGGTGAATCCCTGAGTTCAAACCCCAGTACTACCAAAAAAAATAATTGTTAAGCTTAGACCTGAGATAGAGAACATGCATCCTCCATGATTACTCCTCTAATAGAGTGAGCCTCACAAAACACCGACCATTTATTGTCCTATTTTTTCTTGCAGTGCTGGGAATTAAACCTAGGGCCTCACACACCCGAGGCAAGTATTGCATTAATAAGTTGCACACCCAGTCCACTATCGGTCATGTTCCTTTGCTTATGAGAAATACCTCTCTATGTTCCTGTGCCGTCAGCTGTTGTGATTTCCACTTTTTGAGGTCAGGGCTGCATCAGCCACTCTGCTCAACCAGCACCAATGGCCTGAGTTTGCAATTGACAGAGATACGCGTGGAAACGGCAGGCTTCACCCAACACCAAGATTGGTACCAGTGGGAGTGGGGAGGAGATAAGGAAAGGGAGTATATAGTAGAATTATGAGGCACACATGCATGGAAATGGAAAAATGAGACCTGTGGAAACTATCCTAAGAATAGGGAGTGGAGGGATAAAGGAGAATGACGGAGGGAGTGAATTTAACTAAGATATAATGTAAAAACTTTTGTAAATGTCACATGTGCCTCCGGTAAAACAATAATACAATAAAATAAATAAAGTTTAAAGGATTTTAAAAAGAGAGAGATAACACAGCATACACAGTGACTTCAGATACAGCCTCCCGATACCATCCTCCCACTCCCCAGGAAAGGTGTACATGTGGTCATGAGAGGAAGTGGAGAGCATGCAGGCAAGCTCAGCTTAGGGAAACCATTTGCTGTAGGAACTCGTCAGCTTTTGTCCTTGCCGTCTCAATCTCCTCAGTGTATGAGAGGAACTGTGCTCAGCACAAAATCCTTTATTCACAACTGGTAGGCAGTTGAGGCATTGAAGTATAAGTGCTTGGTCCATCTGGTCCTCTGTGGCTTCTTGTCTTATATTCCCTGGCTTAGTGCTACAAGAATTGCTCAACCAAACACACCAAGGACAAATCCTCTTGTGTCCCTTTGGATAAATGAAAGGTTAGAAGCTATCTGCTAAGCTAAGGTCATGTTTTCCCCATGTTAATATCCTAAGTCCAAGTCCTGGAATACCATAGGTCATTGATGAGAATTTGTCCAAATTTTAATTATTTTATATTCAGGTTGTTTGGTATGAACTGTGTTTATAAATCAGTTAATGACTAGCAAGTAAAACTATTCATTTTATGTTTTTAAAGCAAATTATATCAAAGTCTATTGGGTTTTATGCTGTTGAAAGGCATGATGATTGTAACATAAAAGTCCTAAACTATTTTCCTTTAATCCATGTTTCAGATTATTTGAATATATTTTGCTCTATAAGGAAGGAGTGATGTTTCAGATTGAACAAGCCACCAAGCAATGCTCAAAGATCACCCTGACAGAGCCCTGGGATCCTCTTGACATTCCTCAGAACTCCACATTTGAAGATGAATACTCCATTGGAGGACCTCAAGAACAGATCACAGTCCAGGAGTGGTCTGACAGGAAGTCTGCCAGATCCTGTAAGGACTAAAAGGATTTCAGCATTATCTCTTGGGATGCATGATGGGAAAAAAAGATTTAAGTTCTTTGAGGAAGGTAGCTGTTAGGGAAACATAAAGCTTAAACAAATTTCTTAAAGCCCATTTAAATTCCCTCGTGTACTTCGCTAATAAATTTGTTAACAGTGGGATCTAAACACGTTATTTTGAACCCCTCCACCTTCTTGAGCCATGTGTGCTTTTCTGTCACTTTGGCTCTTTCATGATCACCCTGCAGTCTGTGACATTGAAGGCATTACTCTAAGACAACTCCTGAGTCAGGTGCCACCTTTTCCTTCCCCCACATCACTTCCCAAGTTGCAGTGGACAGAACTACTCCATTTTTAATTATATTAATTATTATATTGATTAATTATGATTCTGAGTTAAGCTGGCCTGCTCTGATGTGAAGCTATTCCCTGTAATCCCAAGATTATCTTAGACACAAAGGCATTCATACTGTGGGGAACAGTATAGCATTTTCTCAGAAAATTAAACATTGAATCACCAGATGGTCCAGCTGTTTCAATTCTCTGTATGTACTTAAAGAACTGATGGCAGGGTCTCAAACAGGGTCATAGTGGTATTATTTTCAATAATCAAAACATGAAAATATGCTCATCAGCAGATTAACAGATAGACAAAATGTGGCACGTTCATAGAATACCATTCAGCTTCAAAAAGGAAGAGAATTCTGACATATGCTACAATATGAGTAAACATGAGGACATTATGCTCAGAGAAAGAAGCCAGTCACAAAGGGTAAACATTGTACGACTCCACTTAACTTAAATGAGGCACCCAAATACAGGCAGGCAGACAGTAGCATGCTGGTAGTCAGAGACTAAGGGGAGAGGAAAATAGGAAATTATTTTTTAATAGGTACAGACTTTTCAGTTTGGGAAAATGAAAAGGTTTTCAAGATGGGTGGTGGTGATGGCTGTAGGACAACCTCTAAACAGTATACTTAAAAATGGTTAACATGGTCCATTGTATGTTGTGTGCATTTAGCCACAATAGAAAAAAACATAGGTGCTCTGTCTGTCTTCACTATTAAAAAGTTAGCTTTCTTCCTCCTCAGATGAAACCTGGATCGGCGTTTATACTGCCAAGGATTGTTATCCTGTCCAGGAAACGTTCATCAGGAATTACAGTGTGATGCTGTCCACACGGTTTTTCGATGTACAGCTTGGTATTAAGGACCCCTCAGTGTTTACTCCTCCAAGCACATGCCAGATGGCCCAGCCAGAGAGGATGAGTGAGGAGTGCTCTTGGTGAGCTTGTGAACACAGAAGTGACAGCCACTGACATGGGCTGTTAAGTGACCCCAGCAGGACATGGATTAGAGACTGGTTTGGATGAGAATCTTCGTTGGAAATAAAGACAATTTTCAGAAGATAAACTTTGATACGGGTTTTCTCATGTCTAATTCTGGCTCCTCGGTTGTATTCACAGAAGGAAACTGAATGGAGGACTTAGGGCAATCTGAGCTGACAAGATGACTGTCAGACACTTCAGACATTTCTCAAGCCAACTTTTCCATGTGCAGGTGTGTGCTCAGTGTAGTGGCATAGGAGGGATGCAGGGTCAGTAGGAACAGTTTGCCTTGGCAGGGATGAGCATTGCATTACTGACATTAAAAATTGGTGGTGATAATCAAATTCAGAATGATTTTGATCAACTTTATTATTAGTTGTTAAGTTCCCTACAAAGGTGCATCACTGCACCAGGGTGGCAATTGATCCCATTGACCTCCTACCCCATCTTGTTCCTGTGCTCTCTTGGTCACTGCAAAGTGACCCCTTAAAATTCTTTCCCAACTAAGGAGTTTTATGGCATGACACAGTGGCTATAAATATTTTGGAAGGAAATGAGAAGCTATATTGTGAAGTAATAATTCCTATAAAGGGGAAAGAGGAGTTTTAGGCAGGAGGTTTTAGACAATCTTAATATCTATATGTGGTGAAGCATAAGCCATGTATACTTTCTGTTTTCTATGCAAGAGTATCGATTTATTGCTGAATCACAACATACTTGTCAATGGACCAATAGCATCCTAAAATAGCACTGTACTGGGAGGCAGGACACTATTGTTTCCCAAATTCAGAACTATAATGCCCTTGTATTCTACCTAGTGTTAAATGTGCTAGGCTTGCCCTTACCTGTTTTACAGCCTTTATGTCTATCTGACTTGACATCCTTCCCAGGTCAGCTAGTACATGACCTTCTCTCACAGCTGCTCCCAAGCCTGAATCAGTTGCACCTGGCAGCTTGAGCATGCTTTTCTCACAATACTTAATCTGCTATGTGATGATGGCTGTGTGCCACTATCCTGGCTAAGAGCCCCTTGAGTACGGGTACTGTGTTCTGTTTACTTTTATATCCCCAGCACCAAGCAAGTGCCTGGCACATGATCAGTGCCCTCAACATTTGTAGAGTGGAGAACACTAGCCTTTCTGGTTCTCAGTTTTCTCATCTGTTAAGTGGGGTTGGGTTTGCTGATTGCTAGGGAGATTTTCAATAATACAACTTATTATTCTAGATTCTTCTACTATTGTGTTTCATCTGGCTATCTATCTCCTTTAGTTACCAAGAGGAACATATGATACCTGTATTATGCTGGAAACACTCTGTATTACTCACAGCTTATCTATATTCATAAAGAAATTTAATGGCATCTCAAATTATTCTTTGATATAGTTGTTTCTGTAACAAATATGGATGAACATGGCTCTGAGGGAGTTAAACTCCTCTCTAATAAGTAAATAAAATGCTTCGTGTAATCAAAACCAAATTGGTTTATCCTGTCTCAAATGCCTGCTCTCTTCTTCTCTGAAGACCAGTTTCCAGTTGCTTGAGTTGGAAACGCTAAACCATTTGTTTCCTTGAGTCCCCATCACCAATCAGTACCCCACATCCCAAAGAGTTCGTAAAACCATTGCTTTACATCTCCTCAGCCACCACCAGCTCTAGGCTCTTAACATCCTGGGTTTGGGGTGATCAATCATCACGCCCTCTGTCACTGACCTAGTCATTTTCTTCTGGAAACCATTCTGTGCTCATTCATTCATAATCATTAGCTTAATACTGAGTACCAGCTCTCTCCAGTGCCCATACCAGTTCCTAGAGTCACAGAGGAAGGCAAAATCTAGGCAGGACAGGCATTCAGAGGCAGGACAGAGTAAGAAAAATGTCGCAGCTAATTTGTGTGTAAAGCCTTTGTAGCAGTGTTTGCCCCACTTCCCATCTCTCCACCACAGAATGGTCCTGCTCCTCCAAATTGCACAACTCCCCTTGACCATGGGACACTGCCCTTCTCAGATCACATCCTCATTCAAAGGAGAAGAATGAAAACTCCTAATTTATTCAGGACCACACAGTGGGTGCCCCTTTCTTACTCAGTTGGTCTGTCGTAGTAAAGTCACTTCATAGAAATGAATAAAAAACTCAGAAGGATTTTACATTAGGTGGGGAGCACAATACAGGTCTGACGGTGTCAGGAACCTGTGGTTGTCCATTGCTTAAAAGGAAAGCAGAGCACAGTGGAAAAGGGTTTTTGTTTTGTTTTAAATCAGGCTGAGTGCTCTCCAATACTAACATTGCTTTGTTTTTTGTTTGTTTTCTTTCATGGTGTTGGGGACAAAATGCAGGGTCTTCCTCATAGCCAGGCAAGTTCTCACCTCTTGCTAGATTTCTTCTACTGAACCTGCCCTCTATCTTCCCTCTGGTACTTTGCCTATGTACCACACATGATGTTTTTCAACTTTTCCAGACGTGCATATCTGCTTTTCTTCCATCTATAGAAGGCAACTCAAATGCAGGAGCAGTGTCTTTATGATTCCTGTTGAGTCAGAATAACTTGATAATTTAAATTGGACGAGATTGAGCCTCCTTAGCCAAAGATTTAGGAATAATTTACGAATAGCAATTTAAAAGAATATTTAGCTTTCACAGATCTTCCAGCATCAACAATCATCTCTTTTAAGAGCTATGCTAGGGTAGTAACAACAGAAATATATTTTTATTAGCTTTGAAGCAGAATTATTACCTCAGCTCCATGTCTACAAAAATTTATTGCATTTATGCCCACTTTTATTATACTCTAATTTTAAATCATATTATTTTTATTAGAGCAGAAATTAATACAGTATTTTCAATATCTATTTCATATTTAACATTGGAATATATCTTGTAGCTCCAATAGTTAGAGTTGACTATCATTATCCTGTAGTTCAGGAATAAGCTGTTGTGAATAAAAACACACACAGCAGTTAAGTGAGTATAAGCATGTGTGTTTTATGCTGTGGCTGCAGTTGTATCATTCCCAATGGCATACTTTATTCTTATTTTAATATGCAATTATTTAAATCACTCAGCTAAGTGTTGTTTCCCTTCCCCAGTATAATATTTAATGACAAAATAGGCACTCTTTTTACTAAAACATGATTGCTACCATTGCAACTTTTAGTTAAGCTCCTAATTTCGATAAAGAAAATTATCAAAAAATAATAAATCCAGGGATTATGTGCTACTGTGTGAAATGATTTCTCAATCATAACATATTATTTAATAACCTCGCAAATGTAGTTGGTGTATTAGTCTATTTTTTCATTATTAGAATGAAATACTTAAGGTAGGCTATTTATAAAGAAAAGAGGTTTCATTTGCTTCATGGTGTAAGGTGCAAAGTCACACTTGGTGATGGCTTTCTTGCAGGCGGAGTCCCAAGGTAATGCAGGGTATCAGGTTGCAAGAGACAGTGGGCATATATGTGTATGTTTGTCTGTTCTTGTATGATCTTAGGAAATTTTAATGACTCTATAGTGTACATTAACATCAGGGGATAAGAAGACTGACAACTTGAGCTCAGCAAAGGTGTGTGTTTTATGAACCTTCTAGGTAAACCCTCCCTTCATTTAACACTTTTCATCATTTCCTCCCCTTTCAGCAACCACACATGTTACTATCACCATAACTCACACCACATAAAAAGCAACTAGTAACACTGCAGAAGTCTTCAAATGGATCCCAACACTTCTGATGACTTGCTTAGATCTATATTGCATCCTATCTCAATAATACCAACAATTATCATGATTATAGCATAAATTCTGTTTACCTAACTACATCCCAAATAGCTAAAGAGAAGGAGGAGGAGGAAGCAGGGGCATTTGATTATCAACATACATTCTCAGTTCAAAGCAGTTGGTACATATTGATGAATTTACATGAGGACAGCACAAGCCATACTAGAACAATGCTGTGATGACTAATGATTTCCCTTAGGCCAGTCTCAGACTGTGGTCCCACATAGCTGGGACCACAGACATTTGCCACCACTTGCATCTTATTGGTTGAGATGGAATAGTGCTAACTTTTTGCCAAGGCTGCCTTTGAACCTCAATCCTCCCAAACTGCACCTCCCCAATAGCCAGAATTACACCTGTGAGCCACCAAGCCTGGTCCTAACTCACAATTTGCTTGGATTGAGAAACACCTAGTATATTAGAAAAGCATACTTGTGGAGGTATCTGTGATAGTGTTTTGAGGGATAATTATATCATGAGGGTTCTGGCCTAATAAATGAATTAATCCCTTGATGAATTTATAATATGATGGCACTATTGGGAGGAGGTAAGAGGTAGGATGTGAATCCAATGTGGAGAATAGGTCACTGGGATCATGCTCCTGGGGGCCGATCTTACCATGGCCCCTTTCTGCATTCCCTTCTCCTCTCCTTCCTGGCTGCCATGATGTAAACTACTTGGCTCTGCACACCCTCCCTACCATGATGAACTGACTCTCAAAACCCTAGGGCCAAATAAAAAATTCCTCCACTTAAGTCCCCCTCACAGGTTTTGTCACAGTAATGCAAAAGTAACTATTACAAGTATATTAGAGAATTTTACTTCATACATCTCCCCTTTCAGTTACCTTGCCATTGAGTCTTTCTAAACTAAATGTTCTTCCCTAAACTATGACTTATAGGACTCTTCTATTAGAAATTCAGAGTTATTACTATGTGGATACATGTACACGGTAGACGTGCCCATTTATCAGGGAAAGAAAGTAGCCTCAAAGGGAAAACCTATTGGCTTCAGGAACAATATCTCTGCTTTCTTTGACCAATGATTTTAAAATAATTTTTATTTTGTCTATGTCCAGCAACTAAAATACACTATTACAGTATATTCAAGTATATAGAAATTGAACTTTGGAGGAAACTTTTCAGTATTACTTCATATGGAAATTATATTATTATGCAGTAGCCCAAGAGAATAATGTGTTTCCGTATAATTTTTAAAACTCCCTAGGCCAATGTGATTCTTCCTAAACTCCTTTCTCTTCTTGTTCAATCACAAGAACTCTACATTTCCTGGGTCCACAGTTAGGAATGGAGATCCAAAGCTTTATTCAGCTAATTCATATAGCTAATATAATGCAAGATGATAGAATCTATTATGTTATTTGCAGTAGATACTCCTGGAATGGACATAAGCAAAAGTTGTGTGCAGATTCCTGTCATAAATAATTATTCAGTATTATTTCATTCATTAAAGGTAAGTTTATTAATAAATTTTCCATTTAGATTAACCAGTATGTCTCTAGAAGAGTGGTCAGTGCAAATTTGCTTAAGAAAATTGGACATAAATAGCATAAACTTAGATGCCTAGAACTTGGAAATAAGATATGCTGAGATTGAACATATAAGACCAACACCTAATGGATAAATAAAATCTCAAATTTAGAGATGTAAGACATGGGAAGACAAAGTCTGAAAGTTGAGGGATAAAAACTTCAGAAATCATGATGTCCAATTACAGCAAGATTGCTATTGGAATGTGGTGTCATCAAGGCTCAATCAGAATTGGACTGAGGTGAAAGAATACTGAAATGTTATCATTTTGTCTGAAGATAAAGTGTTTTAGCAGGAGATTGATTTACATGGAGTTTAGTTAGGGAATTTAAAACCAAGGATTTGGCAGTGCTTAACTAAGTGTATCCAGGAGAGAGAAATATGGAATCTGGCAGAAATACTAAGAGTGTTGGGGACAGTTGTAAGATTAAAGTCATGTGTTGTTATTTTGGCTACAATTCAGGAATATCCACATTTTATTTTACTCTCTTTGTCAAAGCTCCATAGAGAAGTAAGCTCAGAAGGCAGAGCCAAGCAAATCCTTTCCATTACTTAGCTGAAGCTTTGACCGAAGGTATTTCTGATGAACACTGTTGAACTAGACTAGACAAAGTACAGCCAAGTATAGGGTAAAGTAGCCACAGTTCAGAGAAGGTTAAATTACCAGCTTTGTCCAATCTACCAAAAGTTCCAACTCAGGTGGATCTTCCCACTTCCATTGCAGCAAAAGCCTACTCTAAACAGAGTAGACTCACTGATGACAGAGGAAAGGAGATGAGTACAACTAAGAAAGTTTTTGACTTGGTGCCTAATGCTGCCTACTCCAGACCTTGGATGACTGGAGCAATAACCAGCCTTCAGGAAGAGGAACACCCAAAGCACAGAGACAGATTTCTGCCAGGCCTGTAGGTCAGGCAGAATTCAATAAACACAGAATTATCCCTCTAGGCAAGGCATATTCCTTTCTGATCAGAAATTTTTCTTCTCAAGTACATTTTCATCATAAGTGAATATCTGAAATGGTCTACTTAAGTATTGCACTCATTATAAATGCTAAACACCATTATAAAATAATGAGCTGTTTTGATTTTCATATCAGTCTCCTAAGTCAC